TGAGGCCCTTGATAGGATTGAGAGTGAAGGGTGATGGGGGACGTTTGAGCGTCTGCAGCTGTCAAGAGGGTTGAACCCGGGTCATCGGGCTCGTACGTTAGTGATGTCCTGAGGCTTCCTGTGTTCCAGGTCCTGCCCTGGGGCCCTGGGGGACATAGGAGTGTCAGGCGTGGCTGGGGAGATAAGGATGATGAAGCTTGACGTGGAGGGACCAGATGTCCGGGGCTGCAGGGGCCCAGACGTTACAAGTCCCGCGAGGCAGGACGTGGGGGAAAGATCAGCGCTTACTGAGCAACTGGATGTACTCTGCATTTCCAGGCAACCTGTCAAATTCCTCCTCTGTAAAGTGGGGGTAATAACAGAATTTGCCTCATAAGACTGTTTGTGAAGATAAATGAGGTAGTATGGAAAGTGTTTGTTCACCAAGCAGTAAACTTTCATTATTTTCATCCCATTTAGTTTTCATAACCAGGGATGCCTTTCCTTTCGTGACCAGGCCTAATTTTTCTTTGAAAGCGAGGAGTGGGGTGAGAGTTGCCAAACCTCAGGCAACCTACTGATAGTCTGTAAGTCAGTTCTCAGTTTGGGGGTGGTTTTGTACCTCAGAGAACATTTGGCACTCTGTGGAGACATTTTTGGTTGTCACAACAAGGAAGCAGGGGAAGGGTGTGACGTGTTTGGTAGGTAGAGGCCAAGGATGCTGCCAAACATAATGTGTACAGGATGGCCTCTCATTGTAAAGAATTACCCTGTTCAAAACAACAGTGCCAAAGCTGAGGAACCCTGGCCTAAGTGGTATTCTGCTGTGATGTACATTGGTTTTCTCACCCAAAAACTGGTGTACAAATTCATGTGTTTCTGTGTTGGTTTTAGTCTCCTACTTTGCAAGTTTCTTTCACTAAATATTTGAGCAGATCTCAACACCACCCACATACTTTCAGCTGAGAAATTGATAAAAAGGTTTACCTCAAACTGGACATCATTGGCAAAAGGAGGATGTGAAAGCCAGCCAGCCTGCCAGTTGACTCCCTGTGCCACTTGCTTAGTCGTGTGACCTTGAGTAAGTGATGAAAACTTTCTGTGCTTGAGTGTCCTCATCTCTCCAGTGGGGATGATAATAGCATTGTTGGGTTAAAGAATTAAATGAGTTAACCTATGTAAAGCATTAAGACCAGTGCTCGGGGCTTAATAAATGCTTGGGGCTGGGGTGTTCTGGTTCCTTAGGTCACTTGCCTGGGGCAGCAGTAATTGGTAGTGTTGAGAACTGGACCAGTCCCTCTAGCCCTCAGTGGCCACATTCACCACCAAGCTGGCACGGTTTGGGCAGAAGTTCCTTAGGGATGCTTTGCAAAAAATTTGTTTTGTTTGTTGCAACATATTAATATTCCAGTGGAAAAGACTGTAAGTTGGTGTCGGGGGCTTCTGGAGAGGGCAGAAGACTAGCTTCTCATCACTTGCAGGGTAAGGTTGAGTCCTTCAACCTGGTGTTTGCAACCAAGCGCCTGATGACTTTTCAGCCTCCTGAGCCTCTGGCAGGTCCCACACAATGGCCAGTGAAGTAACTTAGTTCTGTCAGGTGTTTGCACATCCCATCCTCTCTTTCTGCAGACTCTCCCTCCCTCACCCCTCCTCACCACACTGATTCCTATGTCTCATCCAGGTAGCCATGTGGATGTACTTCCTCTAGGAAGCCTACAGGACCTGTCCTCCCTTGCATTGCATTAATGAGCCACTTCTGGGCTCCCACAGCCCCTGGTCCCTCACTTTGTCAGAGGCCCTGTCACCTGAGCTGCCCCTAGCTTACCCCTCCTTTCCTGTCTCCTACTCTTCTTTGCACCCCAGTGAGCACGGAGCCTAGGCAGGAAGCTTGCCATGTGGTGTGGTGGTTAAGGACAGAAGCAGCTTGGTTCAGATCCTGGGATTACCATCCTGGTTGTGTAACTGTGGACAACTGACATTTTCTCACCTGTAAGATAGAAATAATAATAGTACAGCCCTCATATGATGAGAGCAGTGGTTCTCAATCTGGGATGGTTTTGACCCCCAGAGGACATTTGGCAGAGACATTTTCGGTTGTCAAAACTGGGGTAGGGCGAGACTGGCATCCAGCAGTGTTATAAACCTCTAACACACAGGACAGCCCCTCTAGCAAAGAACTAACATGCCCAAAATGTCAGTAGTGCTGAGGCTGAGAAGAGAGAACACTTGATGAGTGCTTATAACAGCTCTTGGGCCATAATAAGTGCTCTGAAGATGTGAGGTACCATTACCACCTCTACGGAGGCACACCAAGCTCTCGGATGCCTCCATCTCTCTTTGCCTAGCATGCCTTTCCCTCCCTTGTCATGGGGGTTGAATGCATACTTATCCTTCAGGATCTGCCCAGAATGCTACCTCTTTGGGGAAACCTTCCCTGAGCTCTACCACCATATCTCCCAAGACACCCCCAACCAGACAATGGGTTAGAGTTCAAGTAAGGTCAGGACTCCCTTTGTGGATTATATTAGTTTATAAAACCTAAAAGCTTAATGTTGATTTAGATTAGGGGAAATTATTAAGAAATGTTTTTAAATATGATTTGCCGTGGGGGCAGCTGGCTGGCTCAGTCTCAGAAGAGCATGTGACTTTTGATCTTGGGGTTATAGGTTTGAGCCCCATGTTTGATGTAGAGATTACGTAAAAAAAGAAAAAATCTTTTGTTTTGTCACCATACAATACATCATTAGTTTTTGATGTAGTGATCCATGATTCATTGTTTGCATATAACACCCAGTGCTCCATGCAGTATGTGTCCTCCTTAATACCCATCACTGGGCTAACCCATCCCCCACCCCCCTAAAACCCTCAGTTTCTCAGAGTCCATAGTCTCTCATGGTTTGTCTCCCCCTCCAGTTCCCCCCCTTCATTTTTCCCTTCCTTCTCCTAATGTCCTCCTTGCTATTCCTTATGTTCCACAAATAAGTGAAACCATATGATAATTGACTTTCTCTGCTTGACTTATTTCACTTAGCATAATCTCCATGTTGATGTAAAAGTTGGGTATTCATCCTTTCTGAAGGCTGAGTAATATTCCATTGTATACATGGACCACATCTTCTTTATCCATTCATCTGTTGAAGGGCATCTCGGCTCTTTCCACAGTTTGGCTATTGCGGACATTGCTGCTATGAACATTGGGGTGCATATGGCCCTTCTTTTCACTACATCTGTGTCTTTGGGGTAAATACCCAGTAGTGCAATTGCTGGGTCATAGGGTAGCTCTATTTTTAATTTTTTGAGGAACCTCCACACTTTTCCAAAGTGGCTGTACCAACTTGCATTCCCACCAACAGTGTAAGAGGGTTCCCCTTTCTCCCCAACCTCTCCAACATTTGTTGTTTCTTGCCTTATCAATTTTTGCCATTCTAACTGGTGTAAGGTGGTATCTCGTTGTGGTTTTGATTTGAATTTCCCTGATGGTTAAGATTTGCTGTGGGAAGAATAGGAACTAGCAAGGGCACCTGGGTGGCTCAGTCATTAAGCGTCTGCCTTCGGCTCAGGTCATGATCCCAGGGTCCTGGGATCGAGTCCTGCATCGGGCTCCCTGCTCTGCGGGGAGCCTGCTTCTCCCTCTCCCACTCCCCCTGCTTGTGTTCCTGCTCTCGCTGTCTCTCTCTCTGTCAAATAAATAAATAAAATCTTTGAAAAAAGAAAAGAATAGGAACTAGCAAAATTGTCTGAATCATCAGGAGAATTAAGAAAAAAGTTATGTGCTGTACACACGGGACCCACATCTAATAAGTAAAGACTCAAAAGTGTGAATGTAAGAGGGGAGAAAAAGATATACCAGGAAAACAGCACAAAGAAATCTAAGTTCAGCTACAACCACCAAACAGATTTTCGAGTCAAAAAGCACTATGAGTAATAAAGAGTGTCATCACAAATGAAGAAGGAATCACCAGGATGACAAAACAATTCTAAACCTGGATGTACCTAACAACACAATCTCCAAAGAAATAAAGCCAAATTGAGCAGGATGAGGAGAAAAATGGACACATTCTAGAAGCACTGTGACATTTTAGTATATCTTTCTCATCAAGCAGACAAGAAACTAAAGCTATGGAAAATTTCAACAAGACTCCTGACAAGCTTGAAGTAATGGTCTGAAGAGCTGATGATGTGAGAATACAGGTTTTTTTTCCAGGCACATAGGAGATAAGTACAGATGTCCTAAGTGTGGCTCTTCAGTATGGTGCCCACTAGCTGTGTGTGGGTAACAAACTGTGTCTAGTCTGAATAGAGCCGTGTGGTAAACATAAAATACCAGATTAGAAGACTTTATGTGAAAAAAGAATGTAAAATAATCTCTCAAGTAATTTTTTACCTTGACTACATGTTGAAATCATAATATTTTTGCTATATTGGGTTAAGTGTAATGTTAAATTAATTGCACCTGTTTATTTTTACTTTATAAACATGACTAATAGAAATGTAAAATTATGTCTGTGACTTGCATTATACTGGACAGCCCTGCTTCGGACCATGAGAACGTCTGAGCAAATTTGAGGGTCATCCTGCCCCACTCCCCAGGACAACGGGACCTTAACCAAGAAGCTTAGTACATGTACTTCTGATCCAATGAGTGAATTTTCCCATTCCCTTTTATGATTTAGGAAATTATTAAAACAATTTTTCATACATCTTGGAACCAGTTAAGACAGAAAGGGTCTGAGTGTGTATGTATATATTTGTGTATTATAGTAATTCTAAAACACTTTTGTTTGGGAGGCCCCAAAAACATAGTGAAAAATTTTGTATCCTCATCTTAAATTGGCATCTGACAATTTTTTTTAAAGATTTTATTTATTTATTTGAGAGAGAGAGAATGAGAGATGGCACGAGACGGAAGAGGGTCAGAGGGAGAAGCAGACTCCCCGCTGAGCAGGGAGCCTGATGTGGGACTTGATCCCGGGACTCCAGGATCATGACCTGAGCCGAAGGCAGTCGCTCAACCGAGTCACCCAGGCGTCCCTGGCATCTGACAATTTCCAACATTAAAGGTTTTTGTTTTGTTACTCAGAGGTGAAAAATATTATATGTTTTCCAAGGTGACATGAGATGAGAATTGGCTGTTTAATGGAATAAATATTTTATGACATGACTCAAATAGGCTTTAAGTACCTAAGAGAAAAATGCATATCAATTCTAATGGGAACCATTAATTTTTACTGGATGTTTTATTCAGTATAACTTGAAAAAATTTCCCCTGAAAACATTTCAGTTGAATTTTTAAAAAAGAATTAGTTCTACTAAACTGTCATGCTTTGGTTGTTCTTTTTTTTTCAAGATTTTATTTATTTATTTGACAGAGAGATGGCAAGAGAGGGAACACAAGCAGGAAGACTGTGAGAGGGAGAAGCAGGCTTCCTGCTTAACAGGGAGCCTGATACGGGGCTCGATCCCAGGACCCTGGGATCATGACCTGAGCCAAAGGCAGACGCTTAATGGCTGAGCCACCCAGGCGCCCCAGCTTTGGTTGTTCTGAATACAGAACATCCCAGCATGAACCAAGTGTCACCTAAATGACCAGAATAGAAATACACTTCCATGCGGGGAGTTGTGTGTATACATCCCACTTGGAAGACCTCTGCTAGATAAAACAGGTTCTATATACCGGGAACCTGCCAGGAGGGAGGGACCATGTCCTAGGGAGATCCAGGGAGTCCAGACTCCGGGGAGACTCTGGGTATCCCAGATCATAGTAGGCTCTTAAGGGTTATACACGCACCACACAGCAGCCGAACAAAGCTTGTTTTCCCCAAATGAAAATATAACTTACTAAATGAGACCTGGATACATGTCACTTGGGAAATGTGGGTGTACTAACTTGAATCATGTCTTATGCATGGGAGTTGCTGTGAGTGTAAGACGTCAGATTTTTTTCTTGAAATCTTATGTAACTTTGGGAAACAATACGCAGTTGATTTATCATACCCGGTTTACCTTTCAACAGTGGTGAACTGGACTCTTCTATTTTTTGAGGAAGTAACAGGAACACTTATACGCCAACACCTACAGTCACATGATTATGCTGCCAATTTTTTTTTTTAATCATTGTTCGTAATTCAGTTTTCTCCCCCAGGAGGCCAAATGATGGTAGCACTATGTCTTAAGTCATAACCCCTGTATTTGCAATAGGGATTAATTATAAAATGAGGAGTCAGAAGATAATCGCTTGTTGCTGTCCACAAAATCCTGTCACGTTTCCTGTGGAGTCAGAGGGGTCCTTTTTACTCGGCTCTCTGGGAGATAGACCACACTTTCAATAGCAGACTTTCCTGTCCTGCAGGAGGAGGAGGAAGTCTGGATATGTGGGCCTGGGTGTCCTAACACTGGGTGATGTGTGTCCAACACACTCCCTTTGTTGGTGGCCCCACGGAAACCACCAGATGCAGCTGACTCCTGCGTGAAGAATCATGCTCCTGAGCACACATACACCGTGGAAGACTCCTTGCTCCTCCAACCTCGCCCACCCCCTGCCTGGGAAGGGGGAAAAGAGTCACCATAGAGGCTCTTTTGGCCCCCCCAACTGTTGACAGAGCAGCTGGGGATGTGCAAGAAGGAGGCGACACTGGCCAGTGTGGCTGGACTCAGGCACGGTCTACACCCGAAGCATTCACCGCTGGGAAATAGGGATTAGTATGAGCCCTGCTGTTTTCAGTGAATACATTCAGAAATTGCTGGGTCAACTCTACCAGCATGATTCAAAGACTGGTTTGGGTCCCAAACGGCAGCACCAAGTCCAGCGGAGGTCCCTGAGGCATACTTGACAATCAGTTGTCTTCTGCGTGTGGACGGGGTGCCTTTCCCCCATATGTGGGGGTTTCTTCTCATTTTCATTCAAGGAGGGGGCATCTGCCTTTGGAGTGCCACTCAAAAGTCTTGCTTGGTATTCTATGAAACAGCACTCCTCTGTATGCTGTCTTTCCAGCTGAAAAGCTAAGAGGAATTCTGCCAGTAGGTAGTTCTCCCTTATTCCTGCCCCACAACAGAGAATTTGCTACTGACACTGGATTCTTGTTTCCATGCATCAAAATTGAAGGATTTTCTGTCCCCGATCACATTCTATCTTGTACCACATTTGAGATTCAGTACGGAGCCTGCTTCTGTGATGAGATAATCTGGTTCATCTAAAAATACGCTCACCAATTTAGTGAGAAGGACACCAACGTTGTGTATGACTGTTCAGTGCCCTTTGACTCCCCCTGCCCACCTGAGGGCCTTTGCACCTGCTGTTCCCTCTGCCCAGCCTCCGGCCATTTCTTTACTCTCCATCCATTTCCTCCTCCACCCCTTTTGATGTATAGGTTTTTATTGCTCTCTGAAATGACCTGTTTTCCTGTCTGTCTTTCCCACCAGAATGTGGGTTTCCCGGGGGTAGAGGTTTTTGTTAATTTTGCTTGTGGCGGCTTCGTTGATTCCCACAATAATACTGGCACAGAAGTGATGCTTAGTAACTAGAGATGAATAAATGCTCAGCCCTCGTGTCAGGTGATGCTGGGGACCCAGGGCTGAACTGGGTCGAGGCCTGCCCCACTCCCAGGCTGGTGCAGGAAGGAGATCTGGACACGGACCATTCCTGGTCTGGTGGCCAGAGCAGTGACAGCTGACATACGGGACGAGGAGGGCTGAAGCAGGGAGGGGAGGATGTGGAGGAGGCTCCCAGGCGAGGAGAACTTGCGGTGGCTGAGGACGAGCAGGAGTGTATCAGGTGGTGAATCATTCATTCACTCACTCATTCATTATTCATTTCCTGGGCCCTCCTGCCCTAGGAAATGCCAAGGACCCAGAGATGAGTCAGTCCTGAACCCTGTTCTCTGCAAGCTCCTACTCTGATGGGGGCGGTTGACAGGATGGTCACAATCCAGGAAGATCAAACTGTGGCGGAGGTACATACAGAGGCTGCATAAGCCTCTAGGGGCTACTTGGCGCCCGTTGGGAAGGGAAGGGCACCCAGAATAAACAGGAGTCAGGTACGTCCCTTTCCTACAGGATGCTGGAGATACAAGCAGACTGGGCACAGTCTGGAGTACTCTGGAGCCGGGTTGCATTGCACACTGTGTGTCCTGGTGCAGCAACCCAGTGAGCTCGATCCCACTGTAGTCCCCATTATAGATGAGGACCTTGAGCCTTAGAGAGATTGAGTCGCTCACCCAGGGAAGGAACCAGCTAGGGTCCACTGTGACCATGGGGTTCGGAGGGGACCAGCTGGAAGAGATGAGGCTGGAGATGTGCCCAAGGCAGGTTCTTCCTGCAGGGGGCGCAGCTTGAGTGGCCTCGCCATTCTCTCACTCTGCCCCACTCTCCAGTGTGCAAAGCCAGTCATGGAGGGGTGGGTGCAGGCCCCTGCAACTGAGCTACGTGGGGTAAAAGTGAGGGGTTTGCAAAACGGGAAGAATGACCTTCTGCTTCTTTTCCCAAAATGGAACAGCAGAGGGGGCTCCTGTTATTATTTCTGGGGGTACAGCTGCTGCTTATGGGGGCATTCCTCCACCAGAACCACAACCGCCACAGCCTCGCCTCCTCCTTGCACATCCTGATACGGGACAGGCCAATGGTGGGAGAAGAGTTGCCCTTTTTGGTCTCAGTCTCCTCTGCAGGGGCCTCTTCCCAGGATGTGTATGCCAACCTCAGCCAGATCCACCCTGTGGACGTTAGTGAAGAGCACCTGCCCAGCTGCCCCCTCATCTCACCCTACATCAGTAAGCTTGTGGGGGCGTCCTACACCCCCCAACCCTGTGTCAGGCTTTGGGGAGCTAGCAGGACTCCCTGGGGAGGGGGGGGCAGATCCTGGAAGCAGAAGGCATGGGCCTGGTGGCTGGGGGTGATGGAGAACATGTGCTGGTCATCTGTGGCTGCATCATAATGAACCACCCCAGAAATTAGTGTTTCTAAACAGTCATCAGCTCTCAATGTGTGTCCGGGTCGGGAGTTTGGGGAAGGGTCCCGCTGGGCAGTCGTGGTCCAGGTTTTTCATGCAGTTGCAGTGAGATGTGGCTGGAGCTAAAACAGCAGTGGGTAGAAGCACCCCGTTCTCTCCCCGCAATCTCAGAGGGTCCGAGTAGCCCCTCCAGTGGGCTCGTTTGGGCTTCCTTACTGCATGGCGGCCTGAGCACTTACATGGCAACCGCAGGCTTCAGGAGCAAGTGTTCACATAAATCAGGCAGAAGCCATGATCTAGTCTCAAAAGCCATGTAGTGTCATTTCTGACATACCCCACTCGTTGAGACTGTCATAAAAGCCCACCCAATTTTAAGGGGCGGGGACATAGACTCACCTCTCCTTGGGAGGAGCATCAAAGTCACATTGTAAGAAGGGCATGTTGGGTCAGAGATACTGTGGTGGTGTCTTTGGAAAAAAATGCGGTCTGCCACGGAGAGGGGGAGGAGCCACAGCTGGGGCTGGGTGGGTGGGTGGTGGAGCCCTCAGTGAGAGGAACTGGAAGGAGCAGTCTGAGGTGTAGGGAGAGCGGGTGGCCTGAGAATCACCCCAGGAGAGACACCCTTAAAACAACAGGAAGTTTTCTCCCACAGTTCTGGAAGCCAGAAGTCCAAAATCAGGGTGTCGGCAGGGTTGGTTCCTTCCAGATGCCCTGAGAGAGAAACCGTCCTACACCGCTCTCCTAGCTTCTGGTGGTTGCTGGCAATCCTTGGCTTTCCTTGGCTTGTAGGCACGTCACGTTGATTTCTGCCTCCACGGCCGCCTTGTCTCTGGGTCTTCACATGATCTTCTTATAAGGACACCAGTAATTGCATTTAGGGCCCACCCTCATCCAATACTTCTAAATTCTCACCATCTACATCTGTGTAGACCCTATTTCCAAATAAGGTCACATGCTGAAGTGCTAGTGGATATGGTTTGGGGGGGTGGACATGATTGAACCCAGTACAGCTGGGTTGTGGGTTTTCTGGGGCAGATCCCTGACCATCCCCGGCGTCTGCCTCTCTCAGATGGCCCCTTGAAGGTGATGATCCCAGAGAACTTGACGATGGAGCAGGTGCTGGAAAAGAACCCGCTGGTGGAGCTGGGAGACCAGTACTGGCCGCCTGACTGCTGGACACGGCACCACACGGCAGTTGTGGTGCCCTGCTATGGGCAAGACCAGCACCTGCGGCACCTGCTCTTCCACCTGCACCCCTTCCTGCAGCACCAGCAACTGCACTATGCCATCTACGTGGTGAACCAGGTGCAGCCGGAATGGGGAGGGCCAGAGGCAAGAAGACAGAGGGGTCTGAGCATGGCTGTGGAGAGTTAAGACTGAAGATGTCAGTCTCTGAGCTGACAGCATTTGGGCCAGAGAGCATCCAGGGGGTGGGAGGGCTGGGTTTATGAGGCAAGAAGAACTTGAACTGGGGGGAAATTAGAGCTGGGGCTGTAGGTTGGGTCTAGACTGGCTGAGTCTGGGATCGGCTCAAATGGCTGTCTGGAAGACTCAGTCCCACTGAGTCTAGGCCTCCCTGAGACCAGGGCTGACCAGGTTGGGCAATGAAGCTGAGCAGTAATTTAAAGCACTGGGTTTGGAGTCCTTTGGAGGCTTGTTTGAATCTCAGCGTTGCCCATTACTACCTGTGTGGTCAGAGTGTGGGACTGATCATCCATCCATCCATCCATCCATCCATCCATCCCATTGTCACTCAGTATAACTATGTATAAACTTGGGGAACTCTGTGCCACTCTTTTCTCATTCATGAGGCAGGGATAATAATAACCCCTCCATCATTGGGTTGTAGGAAGCATTCACTGAGTTAATGACTAAAGCAATGAGGTCAAGGCCTGGCACATGGTAGATACTCAGTAAGTGATAGTGCTAATGATGATGGTGATGATGGTTTTGCTGGTGATGATTAAGATCCTGCTGGTGCCGGGGGTGAGGATGGTGATGGTGGTGAGGGTGATGTTGACAGCAGGGA